TACTATGAGTACCAAATGTGATGATTTAATCACATTAGTACCCACATTCTATGACAGTTGTGACTACATACGACATAGAAAGTGTACATTCTATGTCCGGTGTTGTCACATCTATCATAAAATTTTACCCCTAACATCGAATATGCCTCATTTTATGGCATATGATGTTACCTTTCATAAAATGTTACACATTCTATGATAGGTAAAGTCACACTCGTTATAAAATGTGCACATTCTATAACAGGTATGATCACACTAGCCATAGAATGTGCATGTTTCTTAATATCGTGTTTGATTTTTGAGTTTTCCTAAACTTGTACGCTAGAAATACATTCAAACAGTTCAATATAAAATATTATTGTCTAGTTTAATATGAAACTATATAAATACAATATTTATTATTTAAATTGAAACAATATATAAATTAAACTACATAACAATTAAAGTGAGATAACAATAAAGCTAAAGTTAACAATAAGTGCGGTTAATTAATAACAATGTACACAAATAAAACTAAAATAATGTACACAAATATCTATAAAGATAATAAAACTAAAACATAAATATCTAGCCAATGTACACAAATAAAACTTAAACAATGTACAAAAACATAAACAAACCCTCAAATTGACTAAAAAAAAAATAGATACCCATCTTTTGTGAATATTTACCAAGTCTTCATGGACAGATGGAGTTGGATTTTTGAATACCTAAAAATAATTCAAAATAGAGATAAGTTAAATATTAGTTAATTATTAAATAATTAAATAATCATTTAAAGAAATTAATTTGATTTAAAAATGTAATACCTCTTTCCATGAGTCCATAATGTTACGAGTAACAATGGTGAGGAGTGATTTATCACATAATAGTCGTACTCATAATTATTCGATTGATGTGATCATTATAATTTAGTGAATATAAAACAAATAAATCATAGTTACAGTCTATTTTAATTCGACTATAAATATTATTAGGTTGACAATTGACTTACTCTTAGAACAATATATTGAAGTTTCTTCCTAATTACTGAAGGAAGTCCTAACAAAATCAACTTTGCTTCCAAAGACCTATGAAAAAAAATAAACTAAAAATAGTTAAAGAATAAAATAATTATTTGTTTCATGAAATTATTAAAAAAAATCATAAAAGATTGAAAGTAGATACTTATGAGTTAATTAGGTGTCTAACCAGCAACTTAATAGTTTTCTTATGTAATGAACACAAGATAACCATAAGAAATTGTCTCAAAATTATAACAAAGAGTTATCAATGTCAATTGCATTTTAAAATAGTGTTAGAAACCTGTAAATCACTATAAAAGTTTTAAAAAATATAACACAAGTACTTACCTATTCAAATCAAGTGCTAAGTATACCCTTTTTCCTCATACTCTAAACCGGTCTATCAAATACTGCTTCACCTCACTATCTTTGTTCCCAACACATTGGATGACAATCAAGTTAATAAAACCATAATAAAAAAATCATTTTTCATCTTCACAAAGACACAATGAAGAGACCTATAATTTTGAAAACAAACATAATGTTAGAAATGTGTAATTGAATATATTAAAATAAAAATCATTACAAAAGATACCAACTTAATTATTTCATAACTACATCACAGATATTAAAAGGAGGTCATGACCAAAAACAGTGTCCATGACATCACATTGATATACAAAAAAAGGGATAGGCACGTCCATACCAATGACTTTAGGAGGCATGTTTATCTCTACATCATGCTTTCCAAGATCAATTGTTGTCAAAGTCAATCAATGGATAAGAGAAAACTTAAAAGGTATTGCACATGTAGTAGCAACCACTTTTCCCTTTCCAGAATCAACTTAAACATCATAAAATACAAATAATTAAGTTAGTAAAACACAATTAATTAAGGACATCATTTAGAATGTAGTAAATTGATACATTGATTACCTTAGACACATAGGCCCTAGTTAGCCTACTCAACCCTAGATTAAAGGTACCCAAGGCTTGTCCCACTGTCTAAACCTCTGCAATGGGCTCAAGAACTCTAGCATCATGATCTCTAACGTCAAAAACCTACACATGTACCATATCATTTGGAATTGCCTGGTGGTGGATGGTTGACCCCAACATGTGCACCTTACGTATGGCCAACAACTGGTCCAAGGTGTCCTCAAAGTATAATTGCACTTTCAATGGTGCCTCATTAGCTACATCCTCCTTCAATGTGTTAAAGGCAACATGACTCCTCTTCATTCTAACAAGAGAAGGAGGAGGTAGTGTGCTAGGAGCCATGGATGCAAGTTGTTCTTTCAAGTCCACCATCATCAGCTCTGCCTTCACTCTATCTATAAGGCATGCCTAGTCATTATCACTAATTTGTGATCTATTAGCTGCCTTTGCAAATTGAAACAACTCACACATGCTCTCACACAGAACATGCTCTTGTATAATGTTTGTTTTTTGCCTTTAAAAATTGAAATAATTCACAAAAGGACAATAAAACCTTCCATTAATATTTCTTACCCTTGTGGGTTAAAAATATCCTATTAGTAAGACCATTGTCCATTAACCTTTTGTCAAATTCTGAAGGTCTAATTAACAAGATATGATAAACATTCATTGACTATGTCATATAAAACTTCATCATCATAGTTTCTATGGAAAACTTAATTTTTGCTTGTTGATCTACTACCACGTCCCAATTCTGATTAAGACAATGAAAGGTTTATGATGTATAATAGTAGTGAGAGAAAACTTGTTTATCAATCTCATGCCTCAGCAATTGTAACAATATCCACTATTTACAATGAGAGAACATGTTTTATCAAAAATTTTAATCTTTTATGGAAGATGTTCACGCTTTGTGATAGATGGTCATCACTAGGTTGGATTCCAAGAAACCTCTTGATCATCAAGAGGTTACCATCACATGGATAAACCCCTTCGCCATTGAATTCTATCCCATGTTCTCCCCTCAGATGTCTCACTAGAAAGTGGAGGAGGAAGACAAAGTCACCTCTTAACTTCTATAGATATTTATGCCCTTTAAGATCATAGTTTTTATGGTGGGGCATTGAAAGGGAATTTGGCCTTTTCCCCAAGCATTTAAGCACTTGATGATACTAGTTCTAGAACTAGTGTTTGGGAGTTCTTTTGCTTGATAAATATTTTTGCCTTTTATTTATGGTTCAATCTTAGGGTGATTCTTGGAAGAATACCCCTCCACCCTCATGTGATCCCTAGCTCCTAAGGTAGGATATGGATTTAGAGGAATCCTTCTTGTAAGAAGTCTTCCTCAAAAATTATTGCTCTACCTTGATGATGCAAAGTTAGACCAAATCATTAAGGTCCCTATAGGACAAAAGCTCTAACTTATTCCTTACTTCCAAGCTTAAGCCACTTAAAAACCTTGTGATGGTGATTCTTTCTTCTTCCCTAATCCCAACACTCATTATGTAAGGCTCTATTTTTTGTCTTTACTATTCAACACTCATATTTCTTTATTGGAGTCTTCGGAGCTTATCTTTGAGCTTCCTACTATAATAAGAAGGGATATGTCTCCTCCTCATGGCCCTCTAAGTTTCATTCCAATATTGAATTGAAGATTCATTTTAGAGTTTTCTTTTGGTCTCTAGAGAGGTCTACCAATACATGATATACCTTTGAAAGCTAATGATAACCAAGGGAACCTTCCTATATCTTCACTCACTTGGTGGCAGATGAAGAGTTGTTCTACCTTTATTTTCTAATCCAAATAAGTCTCTACATCATCTTTCCCCCAAGAGTAAGGGAGATCCACCATAGATTCCCTTACTTTATATTTTTTTCTTTTTTAGGCTTATGCTTGCTTAGTTATTCTTGGTAGTATTCACTCATGTTGAGACTATCACTTTGATAGCTCTTACTCTTAGATGAGCTACTTAAAGACCCATTACCATGTTTCTTGTTATATTTTTCTTTTAAGACTTTTTCTTTTTCTTTTATTTTGCTAAGTTCTTCATCTAACTTAACAACCATTGCTTCTTTTTTTATTCTTTGTTTTTCTTTTTCTAACCTGTCCTTTTTTCTCCAAAGCTTAAGTGATTTTAATTCAACTATGATTTTTTTAAAATATTTGATGTTAAACTAGAATCACGTGAGCTTGTGTATAAGTGCTTACCCATCAGGCAATACAAGGGTTGAGGTAAGGTTGTTCTATCTAAATGCTTTATGGACCACTAAAGTGTTAATAAAGCCTTTGGAACTTCTTAATATTCTTTGCATTCAAACAGTAATTTAAACAAAAGAAATTAAATAAGTAAAATGCAACTAGTCATGATCCTAGTGTGAAAGTTTGGATGGACACTTGTGAGTCTTCCAACACACTAAGCGTCTAACAAAAATTACTAACAATTACAAGCAAAGGTGGTAGTCTTGAGTAGGCACATAGAACCTCTCAAAATCACTTCCACGATGAATGACTTTTTTACAAGAAAAATTAAAGAAATTCTAACTAAAAGAATAAAGCAATTCTAAAAGTCTTCAAGTGTTCCTGTCCTTTCTTGGTGTTTAACTCTCAAGGTCTCCTCAAAGTCGAGCTTCAACCAAGGAGCATGTCCCCTCAGGCCTTCACTTGAAATGTTGGCACCAACAAAGAAGACCCATGAATTTTTAAAAACAATTCAAGAAGAGCTAAATTAGGAATAGGTTGAAATGAAATGGAATTGTAATGAAAAACTCTAAGAATTTTAAAGAAATTGACAAAGTGTATTTAAGATAAATTTTAAAGTTAGCACAAAAAAAAATATCCTAAAATAACACTAGAATGAAGCGTTAAATCAAGGAAAAGACTCAATTCATTTCATGTTTTGAATTGCAATTTCAAATCATATAATCATGTGACAAAATGTATATGAATATTTTGTAGATTTTTATTTTTTAAAATAAGCTCCACTAAATCTCTTTTTTTATAAAATTTTTAACACATTAAATTCCGAGACAGAAAACAACTAAAGTATATATCTACATAAAACTACTCTTCCATAACAACGACAGATTCACCCCCAACATATCATTAGCAACAACACATAACAGCGAAAACAAACAGAACCTTTAATTTCCACCATTAACACACGCATAACTCCACAAACTACAATTTCCACCATCAACCCCAAATAAGTCCAATCTATTGATTCTGGAAAAAATCATCCTTCCACGTTCGAACACAATTCTCTCAAACGAAAAAAAAAACACGAAAATTTTTTAAATTAATTACGAGTAAAGAAAAAAAAAAGCGCATTGATTAATGGAAGATCATATTCATTTAATATAGATAAGTCAACTCATAACACAACAAACAACCCCTAAACCTAAACCCTAAACACATAACACCCTCAAATAAAGCATTTAAGTGAACCCTCCCCTTATTCCACCCCACTAATACCACACTGTAATTGGCAACTTCAAGAAAGACCTAGAACTGAAATAAAACAAACACAACAGAAAAGTTAAAACATGACAAGTTGAGAGGGTTCTTCGTTGCATCAAGTTATTTGAGTAACATCCTTCACCAACGAGCGACATTGTCAAAACTAGAAGCTCAACAAATTGACAACCCCACAAAGATTACTAGCACCATTGTCCTTGTCCTTGTCCTTCACCTCAGGATGACACTTGTAAATCTCCAGATTCCTGAAGGTGGACACGGTGAGGCTAACAGCCTCGCCGGCGATGACTTTGCCGCCAACAGCACCCTGAAAGAGCTGGCCACGAGCGGTGCAGAGGCTGATTCCGAAGGCCATGTGAGGGGGAGGGGTGGCTCCAGTGTTAAGGGTATAACGGTCATTGTAAACATATGTTCCAGTGAAAGAGACCAAGGTGAAGGGTCCATGGAGCGTCAACGCGGTTGAGCCACCCGACGTGTTGTGGAGGGTGACTCTGGCGATGGTGCCACTTCCACCAAGAATTGTCACGTTCGCATGTTCACGACGAGCATAGTCCATGATGGACTCAACCACGTCGTGGCCCTGGGGCACATGGATGAGGCTAAGCATGGCAGTGGGCTCGGTTATGCTCATGATGTTGAGCTTGGGCTTGTTTTTGGAGCCCATGGGCCTGCCACGTGGATTCCTGTTGGATGAGGTTGCGATCGTGGAGTGGTTTGCGGATGGTGGTGGCTGACACTGGAAGGACACGGTGGAATTGGTGTCGGAGGAGAACATCATGGGATTGGTGTTCATTGCAACAAACAAGTGTTTGGAATGAGAGAAAGAAAAGTTATAAAAAGGGTATGAAATGAAAAGGGTTATGAGAAAGAAATGTTTTAAGAAGTGAAGATGGTTGTGATTGTGATGGTGTGAAGTTGTGTCTTTATAGTGTGAAGTTTAGTTCATAGGCATTGACAAGTGTCATATGAGAAAGGTTTGCCAAGTATGGAAACAGTGGGTGCATGGCACTGTGAGATTTCAAACCAGGGACTCTGTCATACTCGAAACGATAGATTTTGGAGATTTGTTTTTGTTAAATTGGGAATATAACTTAAGTTAGGGTTTAGTCAAAGTTTTTTAAATCATTTATGACTAAATTTATCTAATGTGAGAATTACTTTATAAATATACATGTCATAATGAAGTTAATATGTTAGTTATATAATACTTTTAATGGTCTATTTAATTAAGTCAAAGATTTTTAAAGTCATTAATTGAAAAGAAAAACTCGATCGGACCTGTGTTAATATGTGAATTTTATTTATAATAAAATAGAATTTGGTATAAAAAAATGTGTCATGAGAAATAGAGTTTAAAATAATACCGCACTGCTACTTATATATAATACTGTACTACTATTCCCATTCCATTTCCCTATTTGGTGAAACTTCTATACGTAAATAATAGTGTCATTAACTTACTCTATTTTTCTCTCCGTTCTCTTTAATTGACTTGTTCTATTTTGCTCTATTTAATTGAGATTGTTCCTCAGTTATATAACAAAAAAAATACTTTAAATTTTAACTTTTAAGTAGTAATTTTTTTTATACCACGCATCAAGAAAAAGGAAAGGTGAAAGCTAAAATTGATATCATGATCATTATAATTAACTATAGATCTTCAAGACCTTGTAATCAATTTAGATTTATTAGAATAATATATATATACATATATATATATATATATATGTGTATGTGTGTGTGTGTGTGTAAAAGATGAATTTTGAGTTAGGGTTTATGTAAGTAGAATGAGATAAGAATAAATCTTAGTTGGAAGAAGAACCCTCTCAACACAAAAATTGCGATCTTTCTCCCTCTCTTGAATTTGTTATTGTTATTCTTCCCCTTTTATGACTCAACAATTATTTTTTTTACTATGAATTTTATTTTTTAATTTTTTTTATTGTGAAATTAGGATTTTTTATATTTTAAAAAAGAAAATTAACATAATACATTGCAGTATCTTAGAATTCAATACTAAAAATATTTATTCACAATGAAAGCAATTAAAAAATTAAAAAATTATTTTGTAACTATAACAAATTTCAGATTTTTTCCTCCTAGTTGATGTTTGTAAATTTGTAAGATATTTTAAATGAATAAAAGTATATGAAAGACAAACTTTCACTCAAATATCAATATAAAATGAAGGGACATATTTAGTTATAAGAGAATAGGGTAGCCGTCCCATTATTTTTTTAATCATTTATAAATTTATAAACAAAATATTTTAAATCACAAATTATAAAAAATTTGAAATGTTGTTTAGAATAATTTTTAGCATGTGTAGCACTACATAACTTTCTTCGTAAAGAATGTCATTTTAATGAATTTTCAATTGTAGTTGTAGACGAACATTCATCTCCAACATTATTGGTTAATGAAAATTATAATTTTGAGCCTATTAAATTATTTTTAATTATTACATATCAAGTAATAATTTTATTTAATTTTAAAAAAATATTTTAAATATATAATAAATTTTTAACTTAAAAATTTACTCAATATTATTTTTTCTTTTTCTCTTCTACCATCATTGACGAATTTTTTTTTTTAATTTTTTTTTCTTCTAACACCATCACCAATGGTTTTTTTTTTCTTTTTTTTCTTCTTCTCCCACGCCTCTCTTTCTCTTTCTTTTTCTTTTCTTCTTCTTTCTTCTCTCTTATTCCTTTTCTTTCTTCTTCCCAAGCCTCCTGTCGTACCTTCGTCACCACCACGCTTCTATTAACCCCGTCTCCACTGTCGCTGAGTTTCTTCTCTTCCCCTTTTCCTCTTTTTTCAGTTAAAAATTAGGGGGCGTATTGATTTTTTTTTTTTGGTTCGTCCCTGAAGTATCCACCGCCGATAGCAATGACTAATCTCCTCGCTACGTTGGAGGCACCTCAAAGGGTGGGATAGCTGGCCCCAAGATTTAACGCGGCTGCATACACAAGGCAAGCTTCGAACACCTGACCTTGCTTAAGCGTGGATCAACCCTACCGCTGAACCACACCCTTGAGGTTGGGGCGTATTGATTTAGGATTTTATAGGATTTTAAAAGACTTTTTTTTTTTAGTAAAAAAATCCATTGGTATTCAATCAGAATTTTATGTCACTTAAAAATAATTCAATGGTCAAAATTTTCAAGATTTTTTAAAGAGTCCATTAAAATCCATTAGTATTCATTTGAGACTTTTTACAATTTAAAAACAATCCATTGGTATTAAAAAATATAGAGATTTTAAATGATTGTTGTATTAGAGGGATTTTGATGGACTTTTTAGTAGTATCTATAAATATCAAATTCATAAAATAACCTCATCCAAACCCATAAGATTTTGGAGGATTGTTTGAAGTGACTTTTCAAGTGCTTCAAGAATTTTCAAGTGAGTTTTTCATCGTTTTTTTTTCTATGCTCATGTCTTCTCTATTTTTTTTCTCTTGTTAATAATACCGCACTGCTACTTATATATAATACTGTACTACTATTCCCATTCCATTTCCCTATTTGGTGAAACTTCTATACGTAAATAATAGTGTCATTAACTTACTCTATTTTTCTCTCCGTTCTCTTTAATTGACTTGTTCTATTTTGCTCTATTTAATTGAGATTGCGAAACTTTTCCTCTGGTTTAGCTTTGTCATTTTCAATTAAAGATCTAGATAACAATTTATTAAAGCATTCATCACCTACTGATTCCAATGATTTCTCTCCATGGATTTGTTGAAGAAAGCCTTCAGCCATCCATAACAAAATCAATTCCTTCCTATCCAACAAATGTTGTTTGGGAAAAATTGAGCAATAAGCAAAACATCTTTTCAAATGTGCCGGAAGATGAAGATAACTTATGCGTAAAGCAGGTGTAACATCGTCATGTGCCCATAAGTTGCTGTTCAGAATTCGATCCCATTCCTCTACATCAACAACTGATCTCAAAAGACCTCCCAATGTTTTAGCTGCTAGTGGTAGGCCATCGCATTTTCTTGCAATTTTTCTACCAATTTCTTCTAGCATTGGATATTTGTTGAATCCTTCATTTCCAAATGCATGTTTTGCAAGTATACACCAACAATTTTCATCTGTTAGACGATTCAGCTCACATATGGGAAATGTATGTGTTATTTGTGCAACTCTATGTTGTCGGGTTGTTACAATGATCTTACTTCCCTTCTTTCCACTGGTAAAAGGTGCTATTAAATGATTCCAGTCATTGTATTTTTCATTCCAAAGGTCATCGAGCACAAGCAAGAATTTTTTATCAGTCAAGTTGTTCTTCAATTCAACCCGAAGTGCATCTAAATTACTACTATCACTCTTTTTAGAAGTGACAGATTCAACAATTGTCTTCGTAACTCTAAACACATCAAAATCATCAGATACCCATGCCCAAGTTGTCAAATCAAAATGTTTCTGCACTGCATTATCATTATAAAGACATTGAGCTAGGGTTGTTTTTCCAAGACCACCCATGCCCAATATTGTCAGCACTTCTATATGATTGTTCTTCCCATCTTCATCAGATAGAAGCATTCTCAATAGCTTCTCTTTGTCATCCTCCCTAGCAACAACAACAGATTCAACCAATGAATCTGTAACTGTTCTGGAAGATACTCTCCTGGAAACACTTTGCAAACCAAGAATATCTTTATGTTTCACAAAATGTTCTAGCCTTGTAGATATTGCTTCAAGCTTGGAATTTATGCTACTATAAAATTGATTAAAGGGAGAAGAAAGTAATGATCTGACCCGGGTAGTTAAGGTTTTAGATTCTCCCTCCACCTTGCTCCTCAGAGAATCTGTGTTGATTTCATCCAACAAGTCCTCAGCATCTAAGACAGCATCTTTGAGCTCATCAAGCCATGCCCTCACTGCAAGATCAGTGATCTGTTTTTCCTCAGCATCATTCAGCACAGCATTGAGTGACAACAACTTTATCTTCAGCTCATCCAAGAGAGAAACATTGAGCTTTCTGTTGGCAAAGTAATCTCGAAACTCTGAAGAAGTAATTCTATCCAGCAAGATCTCCACTGAAGCAGAGATAAGAGCCTCTCCCACCATAGCAAAGGCCATTTCTGCTCTTGTTATGCAAATAGTATCAGAACTCTGCAGCTTTAGCTAGTTTGTTGAATGTGATAGGGACTCGGCTTAGTGAGAAATTGATGTATTATATATAAACAATGGCCAGTAATGTTTTGATTTCACATTCAGCAGTACTCTAAATGCGTGAATCTCTATGTATTTTGGATTTGTTTTATTGCTTAAATGTTGACTGACCGACAGCATGGCATCTTTGCATGTGTAGTCACATGATTGTATATTTTTTATTTACTGCGAAATGTTGTATATAGAACATATACTTTAAGCAAAAATATATTCTAATAACATTTTGATTGTAACTTTTTGTTTTAAATAAAATAAACTTTTCAGTTAGCAATTATGTCTTGATTATAATACAGTTAATTGTTATACTCGACGATTCAAGTATGTGGTATTCTATGTTATCCATTTCACGGATAAAACTTTTCTTTTTCTTGTTCTAATACTAGAAATTCTGCTGGAAAATTTTCCAAACTCTTTAGAAACTATCTAGTATAACAGCATCTCCACAGAAGCAGGGATAAGTGCCTCTCCAACTATAGCAAAGGGCAATTCTTCTCTTGTTATGAAAATAGTATAAGAACTCTAAAGCTTTAGTCAAAAGCTGAAGGTGATATGGTTGTGACTCATGAGGAATTGAGGTATTATAATGCTAAAGTGGTGTCAATGATTTGATTTCACGGTGATGCAAATGCGTAAACCATTTCTTTTGATATAAAATATTGACTGACCAATAGTATGTATCATTGTAAATAGGATGCACATTATAAGTTAGTAGATAGGTGAATAGTGATAATATTTTATTTGCTTATAAAGGAGGGAAAGGGAGGAGGTGGCAGTAAGAAAAGAATGGCCATGGATCTAAGGGTAAAGACAAAGGTTGGGAGAAAGGCCCAAGAAGGGGGGAAATGGTACTATGGATTAAGGGAGGGCGATTGGAGTTTCCAAATGGGTTAACATATCACGTCCTTGAGTTGTTTACTCATTCATTTGGGTCTTATGGTAACAAGGTCCTTGCCAGATTGAATTGTATTTAGGTACACTAAAGATTGTTTAGTATATAAATATATAGTACAGATCTCTAATAGGAACAACTCTTTAAAGATGTTTGCTATTAAATAATTTTACTCTATTTTTTATTAAGTGAATTTCTTCAAACAATTCTAATGAATTTGATATTTTATAATTTTTTAATGTTGAATTTCATTGAAATTAAGATACATATAAATTAAAAATTATTTTTAATTATTACATATCAAGTAATAATTTTATTTAATTTTAAAAAAATATTTTAAATATATAATAAATTTTTAACTTAAAAATTTACTCAATATTATTTTTTCTTTTTCTCTTCTACCATCATTGACGAATTTTTTTTTTTAATTTTTTTTTCTTCTAACACCATCACCAATGGTTTTTTTTTTCTTTTTTTTCTTCTTCTCCCACGCCTCTCTTTCTCTTTCTTTTTCTTTTCTTCTTCTTTCTTCTCTCTTATTCCTTTTCTTTCTTCTTCCCAAGCCTCCTGTCGTACCTTCGTCACCACCACGCTTCTATTAACCCCGTCTCCACTGTCGCTGAGTTTCTTCTCTTCCCCTTTTCCTCTTTTTTCAGTTAAAAATTAGGGGGCGTATTGATTTTTTTTTTTTGGTTCGTCCCTGAAGTATCCACCGCCGATAGCAATGACTAATCTCCTCGCTACGTTGGAGGCACCTCAAAGGGTGGGATAGCTGGCCCCAAGATTTAACGCGGCTGCATACACAAGGCAAGCTTCGAACACCTGACCTTGCTTAAGCGTGGATCAACCCTACCGCTGAACCACACCCTTGAGGTTGGGGCGTATTGATTTAGGATTTTATAGGATTTTAAAAGACTTTTTTTTTTTAGTAAAAAAATCCATTGGTATTCAATCAGAATTTTATGTCACTTAAAAATAATTCAATGGTCAAAATTTTCAAGATTTTTTAAAGAGTCCATTAAAATCCATTAGTATTCATTTGAGACTTTTTACAATTTAAAAACAATCCATTGGTATTAAAAAATATAGAGATTTTAAATGATTGTTGTATTAGAGGGATTTTGATGGACTTTTTAGTAGTATCTATAAATATCAAATTCATAAAATAACCTCATCCAAACCCATAAGATTTTGGAGGATTGTTTGAAGTGACTTTTCAAGTGCTTCAAGAATTTTCAAGTGAGTTTTTCATCGTTTTTTTTTCTATGCTCATGTCTTCTCTATTTTTTTTCTCTTGTTAATAATACCGCACTGCTACTTATATATAATACTGTACTACTATTCCCATTCCATTTCCCTATTTGGTGAAACTTCTATACGTAAATAATAGTGTCATTAACTTACTCTATTTTTCTCTCCGTTCTCTTTAATTGACTTGTTCTATTTTGCTCTATTTAATTGAGATTGTTCCTCAGTTATATAACAAAAAAAATACTTTAAATTTTAACTTTTAAGTAGTAATTTTTTTTATACCACGCATCAAGAAAAAGGAAAGGTGAAAGCTAAAATTGATATCATGATCATTATAATTAACTATAGATCTTCAAGACCTTGTAATCAATTTAGAAGTAATTTTTTTAAAAAAATAATATTTGTGTAAAAAATTCGTTTAATGAAACACTTGTTATTAATTACATTAACTGATTTTATTCGATAATGAAATGTACGTTAGAAAAATATGTTACATAGTTTTAAAAATCAAATCGCTCATCAAATTGGTTTGAATACTAGATCATAGTTCAAAGATTAAATTGGAAAGTCATTAATTGAACTGCATAACTCGATTTTTATTAATTTAAAAAAAATATACATATTAAATATATTTTATACTTATAAATTTTAATTTCTATCTTATTTAAAATTATCCTTATTTTTATTTTGTATAAAGAAATACATTAAAAAAATTGCTTGTTAAACTATATATTAATACAAATTAAAAATAAAAATAATATGTATATATATAATATACATGCAATTGATATCACAAAAGCAACACAAAAAAAAAAATTGATATCACAAAATAATATATGTAATATCTGTATAGATATTATATTATTAAATATATAATTTAAAACTAATAATATATTATAAAAATTATTTAAGTTGCATATTTTACAAACAAATACATTTGAACAAGTAGTCATTATTATGTTTGATAAGACTCTTTGCTCTTTCATAAGTAGTGTTTGGTTCCCATGTTGTGCTTTTCTTTGAATTTCATTTTAAAAGTGATAAAAAAATATTTTTTGTGGTTGAACTAGTTTAACTCATTGATTCATGGTCGAACCAAAAAATTAACTAATTCACCTCAATTTGACAGATCCAATATATAATCGATTCAACTCAAAGCTCAGATCGACTAAATCATCGATTCTCGATTCAGCCAATCCAACTGGCCAATTTGAGCTAGTTTTTAAAACTCTGAAGTAATCAAAATTGTGTTGATTAAACTTTATTTTGAATTATAGAAAATAATGTGATACAATAATGGAATCCGGTATATAAATGTTTTTGAATAAAGTTTTAAGTTTTTCTCATCTCATTTAAATATGAAATTAATAACTAAATTTTGTAAGTAAATTTTCTAATAAATAATTTACTCCTTCCTATCTATATTACAAGATATAGTTTAAAATGAAATTATGATTTTTTTAAAACGACATTTTACCATTTTTACAAAACATTGATTTTATTTTTTCAGTTTTTGTTCATATTAAAGATTGTGATAATATGTTTCTTGTTGTTAAATAATAAGAAGAGAATTTGAATTATTAATATTATCTCTCTCAATTGTCATTTATCAATTGTATTAGTACTGGTGTATAAGCTTCAATATAAAGTATGTCTTCACTCTTCATAAAAATATTATGATAAGTAATAAGGGTAAAATTGATGTACCAAAATATTGTTTTCTAAAAACATTAAAATCAACCCCAACATCATAAAGAAAGAACTATAATCTAATGTCTCAATATCGCATCCTATCAAAACTCGTATTAATGAATATAAGTTTAGGCTTCACCAATAGCACCATTATCTTGATGATCTTTACCTGCAATGGTGTCCAATAAAGAGCAACCAACTCAAAATAAAGGAGCAAGACAAGTTTTACTTACTATAACTCCTAATGTGTGATACGATCGAGTAGTCACAACTTTGGCAAATTTTTGTTTGTGATTTAAATGAAAGTTTGAATTACATTGAATGGGTTAAAATTAAATTTAGGATTAAATATATTTTTAGTTTTTTACCTTTGTCAAATTTTATTTTTAATCCCTAAACAAACTTTTAACTAATTTTAGTTACTAAAATTTTGCTATATTTCACTTTTGTTCTTTGAATTTTTTCTCCTAATAATTAGCATTTAATTTGGTGTCTAACATCAAAAATTTTTGTTCATGAAAAAATTTTCAAGGACTAAAACTAAATAAAATTTGTTCAACGGTTAAAAACAAAAATTAACAAAAGTTCAAAAGTTAAAACATATTTAATTCTTAAATTTATATCAACATAATTTTAATATTTAAATAAACTTAAAACCATTTAATCAAAAAATGTTTAACATTTGACTAAATGTGTGCTTTAAACAATTAGGATGCTAAATGAAAAGGTGTTAATACAACTTTAATTAGGATCTATTTACTAAGTCTTCAAAAGAAAAAGTTTTATAAGAAAAATATAAAAAAAAAAATAATTGAAATAAATTTATTCATAAGTTAAAATTAACTTATGCATAAATTAAAAATATTTTTTTTTTCAAAAAATAATAGAACAAAACTTTTATAAATTAGCTTATAAATAAACTAATTTTAGTTTACAAAAAGTTTATTTCTTTTTTATTTTATTTTTTTCTCCTATAATGTATAGAAAAGTTTATCCCAAGAAACCTTAGTTTTCTCTTGAATAGAAGTTTTGGAAAGTCATTTCATGAAAAATATTGTAACATCCTATTTTTTGAAATAAAATAATATAATAAATTTTTTAAATAATATTTATAATATAAGCTTGGATACAAGATAATATTCCT